CTAACTGGTCCCTAACTGGTCCCTAACTGGTCCCTAACTGGTTTGTCTGCAGATGTCTCCGGTGGTCATCGTCCTGGTGTCTGATGGGACTCGTTGTTTGTTGGGCCGCCAGGCGTCCTTCCCTCGGGGGATGTACAGCGCTCTAGCTGGCTTCTGTGACATGGGTCAGTCTCACCTGTCTGTGTGCAGACACACCTGTCCATCACTGTGTCTAACTGGGTCACCTGTCTGTCTCTGATTGGTCCAGGTGAGACTCTGGAGGAGGCTCTGTGCAGGGAGGTGGCAGAGGAGGTGGGTCTGGAGGTTCAGAACATCTCCTACAGCTCCTCACAGCACTGGCCTTTTCCTCACAGCTCCTTCATGCTGGGCTGCCACGCCTCTGTTAGCCCCGCCCACTCTCAGGTGAGCTCACGCAGGTGTTTATTGGCTGTATTTACCTGAGGAAACCTCCTTAAACTGGTAAAGGCAGATGTGCAGCACGTAGTAAAGACTCATTGTTGAGTTAAGGGTAAAGTTAAGTACTTCTTCTATTTAGCTGCTAGTTAAGGGATTTTCAGATGCAGGTGTTTTTAGGTGTTTATCATCAGACAGGTGAGAAGATTCTGGGTTTTACAGCTGCTGTGTGTGTCATCTGACCTGCTGTGTGTGTCATGTGACCTGCTGTGTGTGTCATCTGACCTGCTGTGTGTGTCATGTGACCTGCTGTGGTTCTGTCCAGCTGAACGTGGACCACTCGGAGCTGGAGGACGCTCGCTGGTTCTCTCTGGATGAGATCACCTGCGCTCTGCAGGTGAAGTCTCCGCCCAGGAGAGGCGACCCGCCCGTCTTGTGGCTGCCGCCGCCACACGCCGTTGCCAACCGCCTCATCAGGGAGTGGGTGGACCGCCAACGACGTGGCGAGGACAGACCGTGACGTCCAATCACGGAGCTCCCAGAGGAGGTGACCACACGGGTTCCTGACACATCTGTGACGTGTTCCTGACGTTCTCCTCACATGTTCCTGACACCTGTTCCCACCATTTTCTCACACATGAAACACGTATGTTGAGGTTCTGCGTGTTCTCCACCTTGTCACAGGAACAGAGGAACACAGTTCAGAAGTCCATAGAGATTCTGTCCGGTTTCAGTTCTGCTGGTTCTAAAGGACACGTTGAAGAGAAGCAGACTTTGTGCCTTTATTTTATTTAAACTTCTGGATGGTTTGGTGTCATTTTAATGAACACTTTTACATGTTTTGTGATTCTACAAACTTCAGTAATCATTTCTGCTGTAAAACAGAACTACCTCTGAATTATTTCACAGTTTGTTGAATAAGCTGAGCATTTTAATAAAACGTGTATTTAATGAATTTAAAAGACTGCTGCCGCTGTTTGGGTTCAGTAATGTTTTGGTGAAAAAGCTGAAAAAAAATCATCTGAAAAACATTTGAAATTGATTCAACAGTTACAGAAAAATAGCGTCTCGCGTCCCTTCTGCTTCTGCAGGATTGTTCCTCCAGTCAGAGCTGAAGTCGACTTCACAAGTACAAGACGTGGAAATAAACGAGAATGTGTTGAACAAGTTTAAAAACCACGTTTAGTCTCCTCAAAACAACGCAGTAGAAACACAAAGAGCCGTTTCAAAGAGAAAAACACTGAAAATAATCAACAAAACCGATAAAAAGACAAAATCAACTTTCAGACAAACTGGAGGAGAAAAAGAAGATGATCGATATTTAAACTGTTCTTGTAGAAATCTGATGGAGCTGCTTTCAGCTGAAAGTCGTTCTGTAGGAAAGTGCTTTGACAACACAGAACGCTGATGAAACATTCAGCTTCATGTGTTAGCTGTGACTTGAGCGCCATCCACTGGTGGCCACATAAACTACAACTACTGTAGGAAGACCAGAGTCCTTAGATTCTACACTCACCGTTATGTACAAGCAGTTCAGCAGAAAACCTTCTTGCTCATATTCAGATATTATCAGCGGAACTACAAGAGATTAAACCCATGAATCACACGTGACTGTGACTTTGGTTCTCAGCAGAACCACGATATTTAAGCATCATCTGGTTCCACTGTTTCATCCTGAGGTGACGGTAGATGACACCAGAGACGTGAACTTTGGGTTGTTTAGTTAGTTCTTCTGTCAGCTGGTGCTCGCTCAGAGTTCGACACTCGGTCCAGTCATCACGA